CGATTTACTTGAAAATGAGCTTACCTTTTGCTTTAGACTCTCACTTTCTTGTTCAATTACTTTATAATTTTGTATTGAGGGTAATTAGGCACATGGAATAATTACTTTGAGTTTTTGATTACTGATCAGGTGCAAATTGCAGTTGAGAATGACCCAAAATTCAATTTTTGGGCTTCACTTCCACGATTTACTTGAAAATGAGCTTACCTTTTGCTTTAGACTCTCACTTTCTTGTTCAAAGTACTTTATAATTTTGTATTGAGGGTAATTAGGCACATGGAATAATTACTTTGAGTTTTTGAATACTGATCAGGTGCAAATTGCAGTTGAGAATGACCCAAAATTCAATTTTTGGGTTTCACTTCCACGATCTACTTGAAAATGAGCTTACCTTTTGCTTTAGACCCTCACATTCTTGTTCAAGTACTTTATAATTCTGTATTCCGGGTAATTAGGCACATGAAATAATTACTTTGAGTTTTTGATTACTGACCGGGTGCAAATTGCAGTTGAGAATGACCCAAAATTCAATTTTTGGGCTTCACTTCCACGATTTACTTGAAAATGAGCTTACCTTTTGCTTTAGACTCTCACTGTCTTGTTCAAGTACTTTATAATTTTGTATTGAGGGTAATTAGGCACATGGAATAATTACTTTGAGTTTTTGATTACTGATCAGGTGCAAATTGCAGTTGAGAATGACCCAAAATTCAATTTTTGGGCTTCACTTCCACGATTTACTTGAAAATGAGCTTACCTTTTGCTTTAGACTCTCACTTTCTTGTTCAAGTACTTTATAATTTTGTATTGAGGGTAATTAGGCACATGGAATAATTACTTTGAGTTTTTGAATACTGATCAGGTGCAAATTGCAGTTGAGAATGACCCAAAATTCAATTTTTGGGTTTCACTTCCACGATCTACTTGAAAATGAGCTTACCTTTTGCTTTAGACCCTCACATTCTTGTTCAAGTACTTTATAATTCTGTATTCCGGGTAATTAGGCACATGAAATAATTACTTTGAGTTTTTGATTACTGACCAGGTGCAAATTCGCGTTGAGAATGACCCAAAATTCTATTTTTCGGCTTCACTTCCACGATTTACTTGAAAATGAGCTTACCTTTTGCTTTAGACTCTCACTTTCTTGTTCAAGTACTTTATAATTTTGTATTGAGGGTAATTAGGCACATGGAATAATTACTTTGAGTTTTTGAATACTGACCAGGTGCAAATTCGCGTTGAGAATGACCCAAAATTCAATTTTTGGGCTTCACTTTCACGATTTACTTGAAAATGAGCTTACCTTTTGCTTTAGACTCTCACTTTCTTGTTCAATTACTTTATAATTTTGTATTGAGGGTAATTAGGCACATGGAATAATTACTTTGAGTTTTTGATTACTGACCAGGTGCAAATTGCAGTTGAGAATGACCCAAAATTCAATTTTTCGGCTTCACTTCCACGATTTACTTGAAAATGAGCTTACCTTTTGCTTTAGACTCTCACTTTCTTGTTCAAGTACTTTATAATTTTGTATTGAGGGTAATTAGGCACATGGAATAATTACTTTGAGTTTTTGAATACTGATCAGGTGCAAATTGCAGTTGAGAATGACCCAAAATTCAAATTTTTCGGCTTCACTTCCACGATTTACTTGAAAATGAGCTTACCTTTTGCTTTAGACCCTCACTTTCTTGTTCAAGTACTTTATAATTTTGTATTGAGGGTAATTAGGCACATGGAATAATTACTTTGAGTTTTTGAATACTGATCAGGTGCAAATTGCAGTTGAGAATGACCCAAAATTCTATTTTTCGGCTTCACTTCCACGATTTACTTGAAAATGAGCTTACCTTTTGCTTTAGACTCTCACTTTCTTGTTCAAGTACTTTATAATTTTGTATTGAGGGTAATTAGGCACATGGAATAATTACTTTGAGTTTTTGAATACTGATCAGGTGCAAATTGCAGTTGAGAATGACCCAAAATTCAATTTTTGGGCTTCACTTCCACGATTTACTTGAAAATGAGCTTACCTTTTGCTTTAGACTCTCACTTTCTTGTTCAAGTACTTTATAATTTTGTATTGAGGGTAATTAGGCACATGGAATAATTACTTTGAGTTTTTGATTACTGACCAGGTGCAAATTCGCGTTGAGAATGACCCAAAATTCAATTTTTGGGCTTCACTTTCACGATTTACTTGAAAATGAGCTTACCTTTTGCTTTAGACTCTCACTTTCTTGTTCAAGTACTTTATAATTTTGTATTGAGGGTAATTAGGCACATGGAATAATTACTTTGAGTTTTTGAATACTGATCAGGTGGAAATTGCAGTTGAGAATGACCCAAAATTCAAATTTTCGGCTTTACTTCCACGATTTACTTGAAAATGAGCTTACCTTTTGCTTTAGACCCTCACTTTCTTGTTCAAGTACTTTATAATTTTGTATTGAGGGTAATTAGGCACATGGAATAATTACTTTGAGTTTTTGAATACTGATCAGGTGCAAATTGCAGTTGAGAATGACCCAAAATTCAATTTTTGGGCTTCACTTCCACGATTTACTTGAAAATGAGCTTACCTTTTGCTTTAGACTCTCACTTTCTTGTTCAAGTACTTTATAATTTTGTATTGAGGGTAATTAGGCACATGGAATAATGACTTTGAGTTTTTGATTACTGACCAGGTGCAAATTCGCGTTGAGAATGACCCAAAATTCAATTTTTGGGCTTCACTTTCACGATTTACTTGAAAATGAGCTTACCTTTTGCTTTAGACTCTCACTTTCTTGTTCAATTACTTTATAATTTTGTATTGAGGGTAATTAGGCACATAGAATAATTACTTTGAGTTTTTGAATACTGATCAGGTGGAAATTGCAGTTGAGAATGACCCAAAATTCAAATTTTCGGCTTTACTTCCACGATTTACTTGAAAATGAGTTTACCTTTTGCTTTAGACTCTCACTTTCTTGTTCAAGTACTTTATAATTTTGTATTGAGGGTAATTAGGCACATGGAATAATTACTTTGAGTTTTTGAATACTGATCAGGTGCAAATTGCAGTTGAGAATGACCCAAAATTCAATTTTTGGGTTTCACTTCCACGATCTACTTGAAAATGAGCTTACCTTTTGCTTTAGACCCTCACATTCTTGTTCAAGTACTTTATAATTCTGTATTCCGGGTAATTAGGCACATGAAATAATTACTTTGAGTTTTTGATTACTGACCGGGTGCAAATTGCAGTTGAGAATGACCCAAAATTCAATTTTTGGGCTTCACTTCCACGATTTACTTGAAAATGAGCTTACCTTTTGCTTTAGACTCTCACTTTCTTGTTCAAAGTGATAATTTTGTATTGAGGGTAATTAGGCATATGAAATAATTATTTTTAGTGTTTGGATACTATTCAGATGCAAATTCACGATGAGAGTGATCCAAAATTCTATTTTTCAGTTTCGCTTCGTCCATTTACTTAAAAATGAGCTTCCCTTTACCTTAGATTTTCAAGCACTTGATGAGTTTTTGCTTACGGATCAAGTGCAAATTCAATAGGGAAATGAATAAGAAAGTGAGGCTCTAAAGCAAGGGGAAGCTCAGCTTAAAGTAAATTTCCGAAACAAAACTGAAAAATTGAATTTTGGGTCACTCTCAAACCAAATTTATTACTGATTAGTCTCCAACATTTCAAAATAATTATTTCATGTGCCTAGGTAGTACTAATTACACTTATACAAAATGATCAAGTGCTTGGATAAGAAAGTGAGGCCCTAAAGCGAAGGTAAGCTCATTTTGAAGTAAATTGCGGAACTGAAACTGAAAAAATTGAATTTTGGGTCACGCTCATATGGAATTTGCATCAGATCAGTATCCAAAAACTCAAAATAATTATTTCATGTGCCTGCGTAGTACTAATTACACTCAATTATTAAGTACTTGAATAAGAAAGTGAGGCTCTAAATCAAAGGGAAGCTCATTTTTAAGTATATTGCCGCAATGAAACTGAAAAATATAATTTTGGGTCACTATTAACTCGAATTTGCATCTGATCAGTATCCAAAAAGTCAAAGTAATTACCTACTTCAAGTGCTTACGCAGTATAATTATCCTCAATACAAGATTATCAAGTACTTGAGTAAGAAAATGAGGCTCTAAAATTCCCGAAATGAAACTGAAAACTAGAATTTTGGGTTAGTATTATCTGGAATTTGCACCTGATCAGTATCCAAAACTCAAAATGATTATTTCATGTTGCGACGCAGTAATAATTACCCCCACTACAGAATTATCAATTATTTGAATATGAAAGTGAGGCTCGAAAGCAATGAAAATTTCAGTTGAAATTGACCCAAAATTCTATTTTTTAGTTTCATTTCTGCAATTTACTTCAAAATGCCTTAAAACCCCACTTTGACATTCAAGTACTTGATAATTTTGTATTGAAGGTAATTAGGGATATGAGATAATTATTTTGAGTTTTTGGAGACTGATCAGGTGCAAATTCCAGTTAAGAGTGACCCAAAATTCTAATTCTCAGTTTCATTCCTGCAATTTTCTTAAAAATAAATTTCCTTCTCTTTTAGAGCCTCATTTTCTTATTCAAGTACCTGATAATTTTGTTTTGAGGGTAATTACTAATGCGTGAGCGTATGAAATAATTATTTTAAATTTTTGGATTCTGATCAGCTGCAAATTCCAGCTGAAAGTGACCCAAAAATCTATTTTTCAGCTTCATTTCTGCAATTTACTTCACAGTGAGCTTCCGATTGGTATAGAGCCCCATTCTCTTGTTCAAGTTCTTCATAATTTTGTATTGAGGGTAATTAGTAATTAGTTTTTGGTTTGAAATTAGATGACGCCGAGGGTTGCAAAAATTGTTCTCTGTCACAGATGTCGCCTTTTGGTAAATTTCAATCCAATTAGAGGACAATATGTTAATTGAGATCTAATTAGTTGTCTCAGCTGAATTTTAATTTTGTTTTTATGATGCGCTTAAATAATTAATAAGTTTTTGTCTTTACAGGTAAGCCATTTCAACTGCTTTACACCTGAAAAAACGTCGGAGAAAGCGGCCATTGACACTGACCTCGAATGGCCGCATCACGTTCGTATGTTTTCACTATCCTTTCGTAATTTACATAAACACTTTTACTTAAACATATGCAACAATGCGTTGTACGTTACAAAATATTTGACTAGCGTAATCACTGAGCGAAAGTGTTCTTTTTTTATGGCGCGCTATCTACCCGTCCAATCTTCCTTGATCAAGTCGGCGCCCTTTTCGCCGATCATGATCGTGGGGGCGTTCGTGTTGCCGCTGATGATCGTCGGCATGATCGAGGCGTCGACGACGCGCAGGTTTTTTACGCCGTAGACGCGCAGGCGGTGATCGACGACCGCCGCCGGATCGCTTGGGGGGCCCATTTTCGCCGTCGAGGTCGGGTGGTAGATTGTGAAGGTGAAATGGCGAATGCTGCACTCCCAGTATTCGTCGGTGTCGAAGGGGTACTGGCGGCAGCCCGGGAACGGGGTGCGGTGGCACTTGGAGTGGAACCTTTGGAAGGCCGGCGTGTCGGAGAGGTTGAGTCCGATGCGTATTCCGGCGATGAGGGTGTCGATGTCCTCGCGGTGGGTGAAGTAGTTGGGGTTGATGTCGACGTGGGTGGTCGGGTCTTTGGATTTGAGCCGCACCCATCCTCTGCTTTTGGGCCGGAGCAGTAGGGGAAGTATGGTCCAGGTGTCCACGTTGATGAGGGGCTTGTAGACGGTGTTGTATACGCTGTCGCGTAGACCCGTGATTTTCTTCACCTGCGAGCCGTCGCTGTTCACGCTGCTTCCGGCGAAATGGAACTGGATGTCGGGCCAGTCGCCCGATTTCGGCGCGTATTTGGTGTTGACGAAGGCGACGCCCTCGATGCCGAAGGATGTCAGCGGGCCTCTCTCGTTGAGGATGTACTCCATTGCGACGTCGAGCCTTTGGTAGCGCTGTTTGTTGAAGCTGATGGGTTGGTCGATTATGAACGTGTAGCCCCCTAGACCTACGTGGTCCTGCAGGTTGTCCCCTACTCGGAGGTTGCTCAAAACCGGAATCCCGAAACTTTCCAGGTGTTCCTGTGGGCCGACGCCGGAGAGCATCAGAATTTGGGGGGTACTCAGCGCGCCCGCCGAGAGTATCACTTCCTTTCTGGCGCGAACTGTTCGCGGCTGATTGTTGCGCACGTACCTTACCGCATAAGCCCGCTTCGTAAGTCCATCAATTAGAATTTTTGTCACTCGTGAGTTCATGGCGATGTGTAAATTTGGGCGCAACCTCGCCGGGCGTAGAAACGCCTTGGAAGTCGAGCACCTAGACCCTCTTCGTATGGTGCCCTGGGCGATCATGAACCCTGTCTGTTTCTCACCATTGCAATCGCGCACCTCGTAACCCAACTCCCTGCCGCCTTGCAAGAAGGAGATCGCCAGGGGAGTTCGCCAAGGCGCTTCCTGCACGGTCAGATAACCACCAGTGTTGTGGTACTTGGTCTTCGCCAGGTAAGGGTTCCGATTGTCTTCCGATTTCAAAAAGTAGGGCAAGACGTCCTCGTACGACCAACCTGGATTACCCTGCGCCTCCCAGTCGTCGTAATCGCGTCGGTTGCCTCGCACGTAGACCATCGCGTTGATAGTACTCGATCCTCCCAGCACCTGGAAGCACTTCGCTTAGTCACCCCAACAACCGGCGTCGACTCCCCCTCAATTTACCTTTCCCCGCGGCCAATTGCAGCGGTCGCCGATCATCGCGAGGCAATACTTCGAATCGCCCGGCGGCGACGTCTGGTACATCCAGTCGAACTCGGACATCTGCGCGTAGCCGGCCAGCGCGGGTATGTCGGAAATTTCGTTCTCGTCACCTCCCATCTCCAAGAGGAGCACGGTCCAGTTGGCCACCTCCGACAGTCGCGACGCGACGACTGCCCCAGCCGATCCTGCCCCTATGACCACAAAATCGTACTCTGGACGCACCTGCAAGTAATTGTCATGAGTTTCTCGGCGGGTGGGAGGGGGGAGGGAGTCCACTTTACGTACGTATCTGGCGTCGATCGGATGCGACTCGGGATCGACCGAGGTATATCTCATATACGTGAGGCCAATGGCGACTACCGGGAGTAAGCCTACCAGCGTCAGCGGGTTGCCTCCAATCGACGTGGCGAGACCGGCGATGTGCGCTATCGTTCCAACTATGGCGGCCATCTCTCACATCCACATGCCCAAATTCATCTCCTGATTGATCGTCTTCGGGGTGTAATTCCTGATGGAGACCTTTTGCGCCTGAAACTTCCACGACGCCTTCTCCTTGTCGACGCAGCACTTAATGTACAGGTGCTGCTTCATGTAGTCGTGCTGCGAGTTCGTCGGCTTGTTGCTCCAATTGCAGATCGTGCAGGTGAAAAATTCATTTCTCGAAAACTTCTCCTTGGGTAAAATCGGTGCGGTGCTGTACTTCTGTTGGGTCTCGACGACTACGTCCGTCGTTCGCTTCTTGTGTTCCGTCTTGTATTTTTCGGGGAGGTTGTGCCAGTGTATTAACTTCGTTGGGTTGAAACCAAATTTGCCCATGTTAATGATGGAACTGAAACAATGCAGAATTGGTCAGTTGATGCGGAACGAGAATGTCGTAACCGGAATGTTGTAACATCACTTTCACCTGCTTTCAAAAAAAAACAAAGCCAAAGTCTATCGATGCTGTAATTAGTATTAATAAATTGCTCTGCATATATTTGCATTACAATTATTGTTGCTGATGATCTCAGCCAATTAGAGGAACTTATTACATTTGTAACTCTTCAAATTATTTAATAGACGACTACTTATTATACGAGTACTTATTAATAACACTAATTTTCATCGCCATCTGTAGGTTTTCCCTTGTAGATCTTTTTGGATATTTGAAAATTGTTTTTAAAAATTGCTCAAATGAATAACGAAAGTATCTCCTCACTTTTTCCGGAAAAACTGCTTCTTGTTTTTTGAAAAATTCTTATTACCATGTGGAAATGCAAAGAAAATTACGTGAAAAAGTTGAAAATGAATTAATTAAATAAATTTCACCGAAAATTGCTTATGACTTATTATTTTTTTAATCTGTAAGTTCGCGTCTTGTTTTTTATTTGTGTTTTATTACTGTTATTAACTTTGACCTATGTTTTTTAGACCACTGTGCTACTGTAGGCTAATTTTTTACGCATCTAATTGTACTTTTTTTTGATGATTTAATGTATGTTTTTATACAGGGTGGCCCACTGAAAACAGTCAATGCCAATTTTGCCCACTTAACGACAGTTTTGCCAGAAACGCTCGAACACGTCAATTTTAGTTTTGAGGGCGACGCCTAAATTAAGTAATACGACTTACCTAACTTTAACCCTGAGACATCATGTGCACTAAAATCATGTAATATATTGGGGTGGGGAGGGGGGATTCCATACCCTCCAGAGCTATGTATTTTTCCGAAAGTCTTTGTGCCCTGACGCATTCGCGATACTTTAAAAAAAGGACCATCTAATTTAGCTTTCTTTGGCTTCCATTTTTGGATAAGAACCTAGCATTGGGGGGGGGGGGTATGGAATACCCCCCACTAAACAGAAATGAGATCACTCTTCCCCTACAATTATGAACTCATGCGCACTAAAATCTTGTAATATATTGGGGGGGTTTCCATACCCCCCAGGCCCCCCGATGCTATGTATTTTTCCGAAAGTCATTAATTATTGGTCGAAATTTCAAACCGTAATATCTCGAGAACGGTGCGTCGTAGATATGCATTCCGACCCCTCGTTGGAAAGGTCTCGACCAGGGCTATCGATTGGCGCTGTCAGAATTTTTGGTCGAAATTTCAAACCGTAATATCTCGAGACGTAGGATCCTCCATAATTTCAAACAGATCCAAGATCGGGCTACTAGATCAAAAGTTACAGCCCTTTGAATTTTTTGTCGAAATTGGTTTTTCGCCCATAACTTTTGATTGAGACGTCTAATCGAAAAAGTACGAATCGTTTTGGATTCTACGCACCAAAATTAATAAGAGAAAGTTTTTTCCCGAGAAATTTTGATGCAGTAGATTTTTGGTAAAAAAGGAAGGTTGTACACTGCCTTTTTTTTGGCCAGAAAAAAAATTGTCTCAGATCGACCGGAAAAAAATATTTTCTTATAGAATGTGGCCTGTAGAATCCATAATTTCAAACAGTTCCAAGATCGGGCTACTAGATCAAAATTTACAGCCCTTTGAATTTTTTGTCGAAATTGGTTTTTTGCCCATAACTTTTGATTGAGACGTCTAATCGAAAAAGTACGAATCGTTTTGGATTCTACGCACCAAAATTAATAAGAGAAAGTTTTTTCCCGAGAAATTTTGATGCAGTAGATTTTTGGTAAAAAAAGAAGGTTGTACACTGCCTTTTTTTTGGCCAGAAAAAAAAATTGTCTCAGATCGACCGGAAAAAAATATTTTCTTATAGAATGTGGCCTGTAGAATCCATAATTTCAAACAGTTCCAAGATCGGGCTACTAGATCAAAATTTACAGACCTTTGAATTTTTTGTCGAAATTGGTTTTTCGCCCATAACTTTTGATTGAGACGTCTAATCGAAAAAGTACGAATCGTTTTGGATTCTACGCACCAAAATTAATAAGAGAAAGTTTTTTCCCGAGAAATTTTGATGCAGTAGATTTTTGGTAAAAAAGGAAGGTTGTACACTGCCTTTTTTTTGGCCAGAAAAAAAAATTGTCTCAGATCGACCGGAAAAAAATATTTTCTTATAGAATGTGGCCTGTAGAATCCATAATTTCAAACAGTTCCAAGATCGGGCTACTAGATCAAAATTTACAGCCCTTTGAATTTTTTGTCGAAATTGGTTTTTTGCCCATAACTTTTGATTGAGACGTCTAATCGAAAAAGTACGAATCGTTTTGGATTCTACGCACCAAAATTAATGAAGAAATTGGAAAGATTTTGCTGCGGGATTGCATTCCCTATATGCGAGGCATTGGATTTTTGATGAAATGTGATATTCTGTGATATTAGTATGTATGTATGTTCCTTAGTTCTTGTCCGTCGTATTTGTCTATTTCTGTGTAAATACCCTCAAAGAAAAGTAATACCTAAATAGGGTGATAGGCAAATGGCCTCAGCAGCCGAAGCCTTAGGTGGGGTTTTAGTGGGTATTCCCAGCAAATGGGAGAGCCCCACATTACTCTGGAACTTCCTTCTATAGTGTGCATAAGGAGCATTCCCCCCCCCTCTATACAAAAAAAAGAAGAAAAAAAAGAGAGGGCTCGCCCCCCAGTAAACGAAAATCAGATGACCCTTTCCCTACAGTTATGAAATCATACGCACTAAAATGTCGTAATATACCGGGGGGTAGTCCTTACCCCCCCCCAGACCCCCTGTGTTGTGTTTTTTTCCGAAATTTGCTGAGCCCGGACGCATTTATGATGGCTAAAAAAAGGGCAAATCTTTTTTTCTTTGGCTTCCATTTTTGGGTTAGAACGTAGCACCGGGGTGTCTGGGGGGTATAGAATAACCCCCCCCCCCTCCGTTAAACGTAAGTGAGATGACCCGTTCCCTACAATCTACAAATCTTATAATATACTGAGGGGTATTCCACACCCACGTTTACAAGAAATGCCGTAAGGAACGATTTTCAGAAAATTCCTTCCTCGAACGCCAAGGATGCATTTTCCGGAAAACCTACTTTTCTTGTGGTTTTTTTCGAAACTACTCAAATTAAAACGGCGCATCCTTATTGTTTGATTGTTTGTAAAATTCCACTAATTTTCCACGAAAACGGAGACGGAAATTCATTAAAGAGAAGTGCATAAAAGGAAAAGCTAAATTTCTTGTATGCTTGTCTAGGTAGCTGAAATAGAAGTTTTCCTGGAAAATTCTCTTTGACATGCATGGATAAAATTATTTTTCTTTAACAAATTTCGTCCTTTCACAATTTTTCAATCTCCCAATCGATACAAGATAATTTTTCTGGAAAATAGGTTGACTTTCTTGATAATGCATTTTCCACTTCTTACATTGACGCTTCTCAGTTGAGCAATGTGGAAAAAAGTCATAAGAAGTGGAGGTTTTCCGAAACAGCTATCCCGATTGATTGAGGTTTTTTTATTATCTGAAACTCATTTTCAAAAATGATTTCACTCCAATTCGATTTTTGGTAAAAGTTCTTAATTTTTGAAATTTTTTGATCCACTACGAAAATTTAAAAAAATTACCTGATTTTTGAAAAACGGCCCCCATCCTTTTCGACGTGCCATCTTCTCTCGAGAGAACTTCACTTTTATTTTCGGACGCGCCAAAACGTAAAGGAAAAAAAAAGTAAAAACCAAATCCCGTATTCCGATCCGTGAAAGGTGAAATTCGCGCGCAGATCTCGTATAGGTACCGCTGTTGGTTTCACCGAGAAAGTCTCAAGACTGAGAGCTCGTCCTTGGTCGGTTCTCGACGACCTGTTGTAATTTTTTAAAAATGAAAGTGGTCACGATAGTAGGATGTAACGAATTCTTTTCTTCTAAACAACCGTCTATAACAATTAGCCGTATACGCGCGTAATTTGATTGCACAAATTTTGACAATTTCTCGAATATGCCCGTGAAAGTTAATCAGAAGTTTGATGTTAATTTTGTTTTGATTTCTTGCGACTTAAAACTAAGTAATTAATCATGCACTAATTGGCATTAAATTAGCCTACTTCACATTCATTGCACCTTGAAATTCAAGCCTAGAATCAGAAATATGGCTCAATTATTCTTTATGCAATAATTAGCGTTTACTGTTTCGTATTCGAGGCCACTTCTGTGGGAAAAGGTGTTGGGCACAACAAATTTAAGTTGCGAAAAGTTCTGTGGCTTGATTTAATTTTGCCCAATTTCTGGATATGCAGTAGAATAATCGCGATTCTTAATTTTTCTAATTTTAACAAAGTCAGAAACAGAAAACTGAAAATTACTAATTAATTACGAACTAATTATGAATTTTGCTTAAATTAAAATGCAATTACAGCGGTGGTGAAGGTGATTTTGATTCAACTTAAATGGAAAAGGCAAATAAAAAAGCGCCAATTTTTATTACTAATTAATTAAAATGATTAATTAATTAGGTGATATATGTAACAGGCCCTAGGCTCATACCTACTCCACGCAACTCAAAATTGCTAATTAGTTACGAGCTAATTATAAATTTTCAGCTGCTGTAACTGCTTAAATTAAAGTGCAATTACAGCGGTAGTGAAGGTGATTTTGATTCAATTTGCATGGAAAACACTTAATTAAAAAATTAAAAAAGCGCCAATTAATAGTAGTGCACTGGTTAAAAAAGCGATCATCCCTTAACAGCAACTTTGCTAATTAATTACGAGCTAATTATGAATTTTCAGCTGGTGTAAGTGCTTAAATTAAAGTGCAATTACAGTGGTAGTGATGGTGATTTTGATTTAACCTACATGGAAAACGCTAATTAAAGAACTATAAAGCGTCAATGTATAAAAGTCACTGGTTAAGACGCGTTTCTTCATTTTTTTAATTTCAGCGGGGTGCGAAATTTGCAAACGATTATCACTGAAAACTTGTAATTTCTAATTTTGAATGTTTAGTTGCTGTAACCGATTAAATTAAAGTGCAATACAGCGGTAGTAAATTAATTTGCTAATTAATCACAAGTAATTGGCAATTTGTCAACGAAAAGGAATTAATGCTTCTAGTTTGTGATCAGGGTTTTTGTCTTAGCTACTGGCACGTCTTCGATCAGGTCAGTTATTTACACAAAAGAAAGCGAACTCCCGATGATGTTACAGTTACCACTCGATACCTACGTGTTTTAAATTAAAAAAAATTATTAATAACTTTCACCATTTGGCACTGACAATGAATTTCATTACACAATTCTGCACTTTCACGGTCCGAAACGTACCCAAATTCTCTTCAAAGTACACAATCATCCATGAATTATGCATAACGCCCGATGACTAAATAAGTTTCCAAATTTTTTAATTAATTGCGGTGGCGCGAGCGGCAAAAAAGGGCGCGTCCAAAGCGAGAAGAAAACGGTAGGCGTCGACGGTGAAAGTGAGATAAACTTTCAGTGCAATTAACCAACACTTTAACAGTCAATTAATCAAATTTAAGCTCTTGTGTTGGTCAGTTGAATTTAAACGGCGATTTAAGTTACTGGTAGCGCGATTTAATTGAAATTAAAAATGAGAAAATATTTGAAATCGAAATTCCCTAAATTGGATTGAAACAGTAAAGTAAAAGAGTAATTACGGGTTCTAGTTAGTGAAATAACCCCATTGGCCTATAGGAAACGCTTTAAATCGTAATTTGCTTTTAATTAATTAGCAATTATAAGTTCGCTACTAAGTGGCAATTGCTTTCAAATTCCCGACTTTGCTGAAATTAGAAAAATGGAGAATGACCGTTTTCCTTATCACTTACGGCTCTAATTTGAGTACTTACAGTAGCGTAAAGATTGATAATTGGTGATTGTGATTAATTAAATAATAATTACGTGATAATTGATTTTGAATTTCTGACTTTATTAATATTAGAAAAATTACGAACTTAGCTGCATGTCATTTTGAGCAGAATAGCAGAAATAATCTTAATTAGATTGTGACTAATTATCCGTTTTAAGTTGATTGCTAAGTAATTAGCTTCCAATTTCAGATAGTCAAAATTTGCGAAAATTATTGATAAAATCGAGAGGGAATGAAAAAAACTCAAGCAGATTCTTTGGAATTGTTTTTTGAATACTCAAAAATTGAATTCTTTTGCACCCCTTTTTTTTGAAAATTGTGACGGCAATCGTTAGTTAATAAAATTTAGAGGGCATACGAAATAAACATCTTCGGCTTATTACGTAAGTGAGTTCCATAATGGGGTAGTTGGGATATGCATTTTTTAAAAAAGTAAGAAAAATTGTTTTCAAAATCGAGGGGGCATCAACAAAAAAACACCCCACCCTCATTGCCAAAGTAACTGGTTATACGTAATCTTGACGGAATTAAGTCTTGTGCGCCCTCATTTAACAGTGCTCCATCTTGGGGTGGTTTGGGCATGAATTTTTGAAAAATAGTAACAAAAATTGTTTACAAAATCCAGGGGGCATTACCAAAAAACACCCCATCCTCATTGCTAAAGTAACTGGTTACGTAATCTTGATGGAATTAAGTCTTGTGCACCCTCGTTTAAGTGTGCGCCATCTTGGGGTGGTTTGGGAACGAATTTTTGAAAACAGTAGGAAAAATTGTTTACAAAATCGAGGTGGCGACACCAAAAAACACCCCACCCCCATTGCTAAAGTAACTGGTTACGTAATCTTGATGGAATTAAGTCTTGTGCGCCCTCATTTAAGTGTACTCCATCTTGAGGTGGTTTGGAGATGAATTTTTGAAAAAACGTAAGAAGAATTGTTTACGAAATCGAGGGGGCATCACCAAAAATCACCCCACCCTCATTGCTAAAGTAACTGGTTACGTAATCTTGATGGAATTAAGTCTTGTGCGCCTTCGTTTAGGTGTGCGCTATCTTGGGGTGGTTTGGGCATGAATTTTTAAAAAAGTAAGAAAATTTGTTTACAAAATCGAGGGGGAATCACCAAAAAAACACCCCACCCTCATTGCTAAAGTAACTGGTTACGTAATCTTGATCGAATTAAGTCTTGTGCACCCTCGTTTAAATGTGCTCAATCTTGGGGTGGTTTGGACATAAGTTTTTGAAAAAACGTAAGAAGAATTGTTTAACAAATCGAGGAGGCATCACCAAAAATCACCCCACCCTCATTGGTAAAGTAACTGGTTACGTAATCTTGATGGAATTAAGTCTTGTGCGCCCTGGTTCAAGTGTGCTCAATCTTGGGATGGTTTGGGCATGAATTTTTGAAAAAAGTAGGAAGAATTGTTTACAAAATCGAGGGGGCATCACCAAAAAAAAACACCCCACCCTCATTGCTAAAGTAACTGGTTACGTAATCTTGATGGAATTAAGTCTTGTGCGCCTTCGTTTAGGTGTGCGCCATCTTGGGGTGGTTTGGGCATGAATTTTTAAAAAAGTAAGAAAATTTGTTTACAAAATCGAGGGGGAATCACCAAAAAAACACCCCACCCTCATTGCTAAAGTAACTGGTTACGTAATCTTGATGGAATTAAGTCTTGTTCGCCCTGGTTTAAGTGTGCTCCACCTTGGGGTGGTTTGGGAATTAATTTTTGAAAAATAGTAAGAAAAATTGTTTACAAAATCGAGGGGGCATCATCAAAAAACACCCCACCCTCATTGCAAAAGTAACTGGTTACGTAATCTTGATGGAATTAAGTCTTGTGCGCCCTCGTTTAAGTGTGCTCCACCTTGGGGTGCTTTGGGCATGAATTTAAAAAAAGTAGGAAGAATTATTTACAAAATCGAGGGGGCATCCCCAAAAAACACTCCACCCTCATCGCTAAAGTAACTGGTTACGCAATCTTGATGGAATTAAGTCTTGTGCGCCCTCGTTTAAGTGTGCTCAATCTTGGGGTGGTTTGGACATGAATTTTTGAAAAAAAGTAGGAAAAATTGTACAAAATCGAGGGGACATCACCAAAAAACACCCCACCCTCATTGCTAAAGTAACTGGTTACGTAATCTTGATGAAATTAAGTTTTGTGCGCTCTGGTTTAATTGTGCTCCATCTTGCGGTGGTTTGCGCATGAATTTTTGAAAAAGTAAGAATAATTGTTTACAAAATCGAGGGGGCGTCACCAAAAAAACACCCCACCCTCATTGCTAAAGTAACTGGTTACGTAATCTTGATGGAATTAAGTCTTGTGCGCCCTGGTTCAAGTGTGCTCCATCTTGGGGTGGTTTGGGCATGAATTTTTGAAAAAGTGTGCTCCATCTTGGGGTGGTTTGGTTATGAATTTTTGAAAAAAAATAGGAAAAATTGTACAAAATCGAGGGGGCATCGCCAAAAAAAACCCCACCCTCATTGCTAAAGTAACTGGTTACGTAATCTTGATGGAATTAAGTCTTGTGCGCCCTGGTTCAAGTGTGCTCCATCTTGGGGTGGTTTGGTTATGAATTTTTGAAAAAAAATAGGAAAAATTGTACAAAATCGAGGGCGCATCACCAAGAAAACACCCCACCCTCATTGCTAAAGTGACCGGTTACGTAATCTTGATGGAATTCAGTCTTGTGCGCCCTCGTTCAAGTGTGCTCCAACTTGGGGTGGTTTGGGCATGCATTTTTGAAAAAAAGTAAGAAAAATGGTTTACAAAATCGAGGGGGCATCACCTAAAAGCACCCCACCCTCATTGCTAAAGTAACTGGTTACGTAATCTTGATGGAATTAAGTCTTGTGCGCCCTGGTTTAGGTGTGCTCAATCTTGGGGTGGCTTAGGCATACATTTTTAGAGAAAGTAAGAAAAATGGTTTGCAAAATCGAGGGTGGCGTCACCTAAAAACACCCCACCCTCATTGCTAAAGTAACTGGTTACGTAATCTTGATGGAATTAAGTTTTGTGCGCCCTCGTTTATGTGTGCTCCACCTTGGGGTGGTTTGGGCATGCATTTTTGAAAAAAGGTGAGAAAAATTATTTACAAAATCGAGGGGGCATCACCAAAAAAACACCCCATCCTCATTGCTAAAGTAACTGGTTACGTAATCTTGGTGAAATTAAGTCTTGTGCGCCGTGGTTTAAGTGTACTCAATCTTGGCGTGGTTGGGACATGAATTTTTGAATAAACGTAAGAAGAATTGTTTACGAAATCGAGGGGGCATCGCCAAAAATCACCCCACCCTCATTGCTAAAGTAACTGGTTACGTATTCTTGATGGAATTAAGTTTTGTGCGCCCTCGTTTATGTGTGCTCCATCTTGGGATGGTTTGGGCATGAATTTTTGAAAAATAGTAAGAAAGTTTGATTACAAAATCGAGGGGGCATCACCAAAAAATACCCCACCCTCATTGCTAAAGTAACTGGTTACGCAATCTTGATGAAATTAAGTCTTGTGCGCCCTCGTTCAAGTGTGCCCCATCTTGGGGTGGTTTAGACATGAATTTTTGAAAAAATGTAAGAAAAATGGTGTACAAAATCGAGGGCGCATCACCAAGAAAACACCCCACCCTCATTGCTAACGTAACCGGTTACGTAATCTTGATGGAATTCAGTCTTGTGCGCCCTCGTTCAAGTGTGCTCCGTCTTGGGGTGGTTTGGGCATGAATTTTTGAAAAATAGTAAGAAAAATAGTTTACAAAATCGAGGGGGCGTCACCAAAAAACACCTGAGGTTTATTAGTTAAAGTAATTGAAGAATTTTTTGAAATTTCAATAATTTTTCGCCCCCTGTTTCGGGTCTTGGGGGGGGGGGGTATGAATTTTTTTAAATGTCGTTTAGAAAATCGAGATTGTCAAAAAATAACAAGTGAGCTCAAAATCGATTATAAAAAATAGTGTGTCATGGTATTTAAAAATTCATCACATTATCGGCTATTACCTAGTAAATAAATAAGTACATACAGGCAAATATATACAAAATGTTCCTATCACTAACACTAGTGAGCAATTAGTAGGTGTATCAACGGTTCGCGACTCCTCTTTGGTTATTAGAATTATCAATTATCCTAGTCTATAATTACAAAAATCAGTACTATTATTACAACTGGTGGTTGCACTACGCGCACTTTTTCCCAGTGAGTACCCCAACCAGTACTCTTTGATCAAGTCCGAGCCTTTCTCTCCGATCATCAAAACGGGAGCGTTGATGTTGCCGCTTGTGATGTACGGCATAATCGAGGCGTCTACGATTCGCAGGCCGGACACTCCGTAAACCCTCAGCTTGGGGTCGACCACGGCGAGGGGGTCGGTTTTGGGTCCCATTTTCGCGCTGCACGAGTAGTGGTAGATGGTGAGGGTGTACTGGCGAACCGCGCAGTCCCAGTACTCGTCGGTGAAGAGAGGAAGGTGCTTGCAGTTGGGATAGGGGACGCTGTGGAACGTGGAGCCGAACCTTTTCATCGCGGTGGTTTGGCCGAAGGCTATACTGGCCTTGATTCCCTCGCGCAGGACGGCGACATCGTGCGGATCCGTGAGGTAGTTGTGATACATCAGAGGGTAGCGCAGGGGATTTTTCGATTGCAATTTGATGACCCCCGTGCTTTTGGGGCGCAGCATCATCGGGAAGATGCTGAAGACGTCCTTGGCGTTGATGCTCTTGAAGACGGCGTCGTAGAACTCGTCGGAGAGCCCGTGGGCGCGCTTCACCTGGGTGCCGCTGTCTTGGTTCGTGGAGGTGCTCAAGATCATGAACTCCATATCCGGCCAGTCATCGGAACGGTTCGCGTACTTGGTCGAAATGAAGCCGACGGTCTCGATGCCTACGCTCGACGTCAAAGGTCCGTCGCCGAAGATGGCGTACCTCAGCGCGGTGTTGATGTTCGATATGCGATGGGTGAGGATGGCGACAGGCTTGTTGATGAGGAACGTAATTCCACCGGCGGCGATGTGGTCCTGCACGTTCTTGCCGACTCCTGGTGAATCGTGCAGGACGGGTATGCCCATGTCCTCCAGGTGATCAGCGGGCCCGACGCCGCTCAACATCAGCAGCTGGGGGGTGTTGATCGCGCCGGCCGAAAGTATCACCTCCCTCTTCGCCATGACCGTCTGCAGCAGGCCGTGCTTTATGAATTGGACCCCGTAGGCGCGCTTCGTGTCCGGATCAATCAGCACCTTCGTCGCGTGCGTCCACATCGAAATGTGGAGGTTGGGACGCAATCTCACCGGACGCAGGAACGCCTTCGCCGCGCTACACCTCGTCCCTCTACGCATCGTGAATTGAAACAGGGCGAAACCCGTCTGCTGTTCGCCGTTGATGTCCCGAATGTCGTATCCCATCTCCTGACCGGCCTGCAGGAAGGCTATCCCCAGCGGGGTGTTGTAGGGGGACTCCTGGATCGTCTGGTACCCACCGGTCGCGTGGTACTTTTTGTTGCGGGCCAGATACGGATTGCGTTGATCTTCACTTTTGAGGAAGTACGGGAGGACGTCATCGTAACCCCAACCTTCGTTGCCCAAATCTCGCCAGCGATCGAAGTCGCGTCGGTTGCCGCGTACGTATAACATCGTATTGAGGACACTGGAACCGCCCAAAACCTTTCCACGAACCCAGTTG